CCCCAAAACCCCAAAACCCCAAAACCCCAAAACCCCTATGTGAAAGATAATATAGAAAATATAAAAATGGGAAATAAGCTAAATTTATGATTAAGACCAAGAGATAGCGAGGTATATTTCTTTCCAATTTTTATACATTTTGAAACTTGAGCAACTAAAATCTAACATTAAAGCTCGATAATAATATTCAAGAAACTTGAGAAAGATTCTTAGACTTGATGACATCTTTTCCTAATTTACCACTGTTTTGTAGTTGTCTTTTTCGAGCAGGAAGACTTCTCTATCAAGATCCAAAACAGAGATTGACCTTGAAGTCATACAAACCTTTGAGAGCAAAATAGCTTTACTCAAACAGAACTCTTCTATAGACGACTTTGAGCAACAAAAAGTCTTAAACGATGCTCTCAGTGTCCTAAATATTACTGAAGAGCCTATCAAATAGATATTACAGAATGGGAGAAGCAATAGGTTCTGGAAAGTTTGGAATGGTTAGAAAAGCAACAAGACTTCTTGACGTTACTGCTACTCCAGGTACCTGCTACCTCCTTTAGAGCTTTCATTTTAGAATTATTTAAAAAATCTCTAAAAAAGAAAAGATTTCTTTTCAAGACTCTCAGTTCTAATACAAGGTGATTTTTAGGCGACAAACCAAGAAAATCAATGAAGCCTCGAAGAAGTTTTCAGAACAAAGTGGCTATTAAGAAGATTAAGCTTGACCAATTAGGATCAAAGCTGCACATAATTGCTCAAGAAATACTGACCCTAAAGAGAGTAGACCACCCCTCTATAGTGAACCTTCTAGAAATCTACAGAGACGAGAACACCCTATATCTTGTCATGGAGTATATCCAAGGGAAAGAGCTATTTGAATTCATAGTCGAACAAGAGAGTTTGAAGGAATCAGATGCCGCTTCTATAATAAAACAACTCATCAAATGTATATATTACCTGAATACAAAGAAGATCGCTCATCGAGACCTGAAGCTTGAGAATATCATGATCGATCCTATTAGTAAAAAGATAAAACTCATAGATTTCGGGTTCAGCTGATATTATTCAGAAGGACAAAATATGACAGAAAAGGTCGGGACTCCCTACTACACCGCTCCAGAAATCCTTCGTGGTGATGGTTATGGCCCTGAATGTGATATGTGGAGCATTGGAGTCATTGCATACATCCTTCTTACAGGTTCTCCCCCTTTCTACGCTAAAAGACCTGTAGACATTTGAAGGAAAATAGTTAAAGACTCTGTCAGATATGATTCTGTATGGGAAAATTTGTCAGTTGCCTCTCAAAAGTTTGTCAAATCTATCCTTATTAAAGATCCCTCAAAGAGAAATAAGCCAGAGGATGCTTTAAAGATGGATTGGATCCAGCAAAAAATGGAAAATGACTCCCAGATCTCATCTAAAGTGATCAAGAATTTAGTCCAGATCCGTGAAGTTGATGAAATGAAGAAGGAGTTCCTCTTGATCCTTTTCAACCAAATGAATGCATCGAAATAAGGAGAAATATAATACTATTTTCGAAAAACTTGATGTTGACGAAGAAGGAAATATCAAAATCCAATCAATCATCGATCATTTAGGTAAATCCACTCATTTATAAGCTTCAACCAACTATATAGATGAATTTGAAGGCAACAGTAAGAGAAGAGATCGTCTCAAGAAGACCCTGACTAAGAAGAAAGACCTTAAGATGGAGTACACAGATTTTCTTACAAAAGTTGTTGACGTTAAAAAGGTAATTTTTCTATCCAAAATTTGTTGTCCTGAGATACTAGTAGCTTTTCCTAAAATATCTTAAAATGGTTGCCAACTTTACCATAGAACTTCACAGAGGCAGATCTTGAAGACGCCTTTAGGTACATTGATTCTGGAAATAAAGGCTATATTGATTTCGATATGCTCAGGGATATTAAGGAAAGGAAAGGAGAGAAAGTTGGTAAAACTGAAGATGAGTGATACAACAGAGTCAATGCATTCAGACACCAAACAATCAAGCCTGATCATGAAAAGTGTTTTGAAAATGAAATAATAGCTGACTCAGAGTTTACTCAAAATAACAGAGTATATTCATATCTGCTCGATACTCCAAACCAGGATGATGAAGAAGAGAAGAAAATTAGCAGCTGAAGTATGGATAAAAGAAGCTCTAAAATTTTAAATGAAGCTTCTAAAAGCAACCCAAAAGAGACTTTGAAGGAGAAAATGACTATAGGAACATTCAAAAGATGGATGCAGCATGTTGATAAAAGTCCTAATGATGGATATAGCTTCACTGAACCTCCAGATACCTTAATAAAGAATAACTTATCGCCTGCAACTCCAGACGTCGAGAAGTTCCCTGCCAAGACTGGTGGTACTCAGAGTTCTAGCAAGGACTAATTTTATTCAAATTTTTACGATAAGCTCCGATTCTTAAAGCTAGATCTTTCTCTCAGATTTGGGGCTGCTCTTTTGGCCCGCTTCATATCTGATGAAGAGTAACCAACCATATATTATTTATACGGGGTTTTGGGGTTTTGGGGTTTTGGGGTTTTGGGG